ATTTTTGTTGCTAGATTTTGGAATAATTTCATAAGTGAAAACTTTGATCCTTCCTAAAGTCATTGCTTGATGAATCTACATAGGATTTAGAGAAAGAAAAAAAAAAAAGTTGGAAAGTTTTATATATGGATGATTATTTTGGACAAACTTTGCTGCGTAATATTGTAATTCTCATTGTTTTTGTCTTTCAAGACATGGCCAATCCCAAGCACCGGCTGGAGAGAAGAATGTTAGCCACATTGGGGGAGGCCAGGAAGGTAGCTCACAGGAATTGTTGACTAGAAATGATGCCAAAACATATTTGATCCAAGTCAAGGAAGCATTTCAAGATGGAAAGGAGAAATATGACATGTTCATTGAGGTCATGAAAGACTTCAGAGCTCAAAAGTACATACCCTTCGAACTTGCTCAGTTTTTGACTGGGAATGATTGTGATGTTGCTTTATAACTTTAAAAATGCTGAATGCCATCCCTTTTTTCTTTTTCAGAATTGACACAGCTGGTGTCGTTGCCAGAGTGAAGGAATTGTTTAAGGGGCATAACAACTTACTTTATGGATTCAACACTTTCTTGCCAAAAGAATATGAGATAACCCTCGATGACCATGATAAACCGCTGGAAAAGTCAGTTGAACTTAAAGAAGCTATCAGTTTTGTGCTCAAGATAAAGGTGAACAACTGTTCCATTGTTGTATCATGTTCTATTATTGTTTGCTCTTCTTATTTCATGGGTTTTGTTTCGCAGGAACGTTTCCAAAACAATAAACATGTTTATCAATCATTCCTAGACATATTGAAAATGTACCGGACGGGGCAGAAGGACATAAATGAGGTCTACAATGAGGTAAATTCAAGTAATTATCAGTCATTTCTTCCCAAGATCACTGGATCTAGCTGTTGTACTTATTTCTTTATTATGTTTTTAAACCCATTTGCTATGCAGGTTGTGGCTCTCTTCAAGGATCATCAAGAGCTAATTGATGAATTCAAAAGATATTTGCCACAGAAATTTCCATATGGGCAGAATTCAACTCAGGCTCAGCCTAACAATGAGCAAAACTTTGTCTCACTGGTGCGTATATTGTTTATCATCATTTTTCCCAATTATATGTTCATCAGATGCTAAAGTAGTCCATGTTGTAAACTAATGGATCTTTCTCTTTCAGCAAGTCGAAAAGGATATTATTATTGCCCGTCTTGTTGACCTGCATCTTAGAGTTGATAGCCCTGACGTCGCTGGTTTGGATGATGATAAAACTATGATGGACATGTAGATGGAAGCAGGAGCAGACAGCAGGGTAAGTAAGTTTGGTCCATCTTGAATTATGGACATAGTTAGGCCGTGGGATTGGATTGGAGTTCATGGGTACAGAACTGCCCTTCTTGAGTGGGCGTTACGGTTGAACCCAAACTTACTTATGGGTACTATTACTATAGAGACTCTATGGAAACTGGGCTTGGATTTTTTCTTATGTTATGTGGTCCCAAAGAGGGCTTGTGCTTTTGGGTTCTATGGAAACTGGGCTTGGATCTTTTCTTTTGTCTAGTGCTCAATTCCGCATAAGCGTTTTCTTTTTCCTATTGGGTGTGTTTCACATGTAGAAAAGTAGAAGGGTTTCTCTTTTTATTTTATAATTATTGATAGATGAATGAATTTTTTATATTAAAAATTTACTTTTCTATATAATGGTTAAAAGAAATGTAATTTTTGCAAATCTTATAAATAACAAAACAATATTCTTTTTACATATTTGAGAAAATAACCAAAAAGGGCTTTTAGTAATAAACAATTCTCACAAATAATAGAAATTTAGTCCAATTAGTATTTATTAATTTGTGAAAAATTTTATTGTGAGTTATTCTTTTTAATTAATTGGATTGCAACCCACATTATACCTCTATGAATGCATTGGAACTTGTAAGTGTTACGTAGTTTATATCTTGATTCCTTAGCTATTCATTCAAAGAAATTTTAAAATTATTTGTAAATAAATTATAACTACATTCTCATAGGTTTCAAGCTAAAATCAAGTGACATTTATAACATGTTCCAGTTGAGCAGAATAGAGTGGAGAAAAAGATTTTTTAATTAATCATATTATAATATTTAAAAAAATATTATAATTTAATTAGTTAAAAAATTATTTTTTTTTCATTTATTTTTTTCAATTTAAATATACAATTAGTGAAATTTTTTTATACTAATTTTCTAATATCCAAAAGTTCTGTTTCTTTACTTAAGAAACTCTTAAGAAAAATGAAACTTTTTTCATTCAAATTAATAGGTAGTTGGTATACAATTAGTTAAATATTTATATGAAGTAGATGCTAAAAAATTGTAATAGAATTACATAAATAGACAAGTAATCGATTGATTCAAATTCTAACTTTTTTAACAAACCAAAATATGTAACTATTTACCCTTTATAGTAAATAAATAAATAATAAATAAGCAAGTGTACATAACTATGGACCGCCGCACAACCAAGTCTTGCATGTAAGTCCTTTTCCATTTTAACACCATAACTGCACCAAAAGGAACAACAAGAAGGTAAAATCTCTATCAATACCCTCACTCAAACCCTAATCCACAAAAAACAAATTAGGTTTTTTTTTTTTTTTTTTGGTTGAAAAAACCTTGGGCTGGTGGCTTGGACTAGGAAGAAAGAAACCTAAGCCCACCGTCAGAAATGAAATAAAAA